TATTTTGGAGCTGGAACCCTGCTAAAATCTAGATCGATATCTATAAATTTAAAAATTAAAATGTATATGACTTTAATATGTCCCGTTATCCTGTATGGCTCAGAAACATGGGCACTAAGAAAGGCAGAGGTAGTAAGATTAGACATTTTTAAAAGAAAAGTTCTATGACGAACCTACGGACTATATCTTGACCCACAAACCGGAGAATGGAGAATACGAACCAATGAGGAGCTCCAAAACATGTTCCAAAAACCATGCTTATCAATGAAAGCCACAAAAAGAAAGTTAATGTGGGCTGGACATGCCTGGAGGAAAAATAACACAATAATAAAGGCAGTAATTGAGAAGGAAAAAGACCGCTGCACAGTGGTCTGAAATCCAATTTGGGTGGAAAAAAGTACATTTTTAAAGTACATTGATATTAATATTTTATTACAAGAACCCAATATGTATATCCTACGTAACATAAATACAGTACCTCAGATAATATTAAGTGTGTTAGGCGACCAGGTCGATTAGAAAATGAAGATTATTTTCATATCTGTTGTTATACTTTATCGATTATACTTATTCGAGTTTTTTCGTTCATTCCACACGCATTAATTATATTTTATATTTTTACTTATTTTTGTATGGGAAATGAATTTCGAAAACCAAGGTAAGTGTTCAGTAACTATAATATATATTTTTATGATGTTAGGTATAAAATATAGCTGGAAAAATAGTACAAAAAAAAAGGTATTACTTATATTTCAAATTGAATAATTAAAAAATAACCAAAAATAATCGTTAACTACTATATAGAATCTAAAGTATATTATAGATACTATAGTACACATTCTACTTTATTCGATCTGAAAATTTGGTTTGCGTCCATTTGCGTCTGTATTTTTAATTTTTTTTTTTCTAGTCCCAGTAGAAATGTCGATATAATTGATTCAGATATTGACGAAAACTTTAATTTCAATAATTCTAATTTTCGTTATTATTCTTACGATGATTTATATACATTATTAAAAATATAGGTCTATTGAACCCTCAATCCATAAAATCAAGAAGATACCTACATGATATTTTGAAGGCTCGATACGAAACTGAACAATGGGAGCCACAACACACAAAATTAGTCGAACAAATAATTTTAAAGTTTACATTTGTTTTGCAAAGACTTTGGTCTAAAAGTTCACAGAATCATATAAGATTTATCCAGACTAATAGTGAGTGGTTTAAATATAAACTAAAATTACCAATATTAGGATAAAAAAAATTATAGGAAGACCCAAAATAAACTATGAAAATAGTTGTGAAACATCAAAGCAGAGTAGCGCAAAATGAAGATGTTCTCCATCATTTACTTATTTCATCCGACCCGTACATTTCCTCGGTACGTAATATACAAAAAAAAAAAAAATAGTTAGTTAATGAAGTGAAATTATTATTAAATGTCAATAATAATTTCATAGATGAAGAAAATGACGACATTTAAATAAAATTGTATATCATATCATATATTACGAAAAAGTTAACTTTTAGATTAAAAAATTTATATACTAGCATTCAACGGGTGTAAATAAACATTTATTTTTTTTTAAATATTTTTCCAGTATCTTGGACCTATTTTAATTTGATTATTAGGATAAAATAATTTTTTCCACCTAGATTGGATTTCAAACTACTGTGACGCTGGGTAGGCGGCGCCTTAGATGGGAAGATTGTGTGAAGAGAGGCGTTGTAAGAGTGGATCCAGGAACAAACTGAAGTGAATTAGTGGAAGACAGAGTGAGGTGGAATTAGTTATACGGAATGATCTTAAAGATCGGAAAAATCCAAAAAAAAAAAAATAGGTATTAAAAATTAACATTATATTTCAATGATATGAGAACTATGCGCAGGCAATATTTCAATATACGATTTCAATGTTTTAATAATAACGCTATTATGATAGAAATAAACTTTTTTTTAAAATTTATCAAACTTGAATTACGTATACTCGTTGTTAAATGTTATTCTTTTTTTTTTTTTTTTATATTAGCAGAAAAGATAATATTTACTTTAAATATTGTACTCCGACATATTTCCTTATTATTGCTTTGTTTTTAGAATAAGTTGTATTCCTGTAGTCAAAATTTGTTCGATAAACGCATCATTACGAAATACGTTCATTTGTCAATATTAATCATAATTGGAAAATGTCCAACACACAATTTTTACAATATAAATGATTTGCTTTTGAAAGGAAAATTACAACGAAGGGTAAGAATTTCATTAGCACAATATACGACTATATGTCCATAAACTATTATGTACGCTAAATAAAAATTTCAATAACGAATATATTTTTATAGTTTTAAATAAATCAAATATAGAATAATATAAGATCCAAAAAATCTAAATAAGCTCTTGTTGAATGGTCAAGTTGATCGATGTGAAAAATATTTGCTGTAGTGAAAAAGTTATTGAAACTTATATACGAGTATAATTAAAATGCAGTAATAGAATATTATGATAATGACATAATGGGTAGAAAACATTAAAAAATGGAGCTTGATAAGATAAAAATGAAAAGCTGAAATAAAAATATAATATTTAATGGGTATATTTATTTGATATAAATAATTATTCGTACTAATGCGACAAAAAATCGAGTTTAATTAATATATTATACCAATAAACTAAATAAAAAACTTTTTCTTTTACAAAATATAACCATTTACATTTATCTATATATAGTTAAAAAAAATATATTCATTCACATATTTTAATACATTATGTATTTTACAAGACCTTATATTTTAGAATTTATCTGTAAGAAACAGGAGATAAATGGATTTTTTTTTAAATAGTTTGTTAAATTTTTTGATAATACTTTTATTAATAATGCTCTAAAAATTTGAAATGGCAACTTTTTACCTAGAAAATTTTATCTTGTTGGAAACTACAATAATATAGGTGTATAACAATTTTTAAATATCACATAACGTTATCGAGAAAAAAAATATTAATACTGTTTTTAACAAGATAAAAAAAGATTAATTTTTAGAGTTATAAATGTAGTCCAACTAGCCTAGTTTGATCGAAATTTCTACTTATCAACCTATGATCAGAAAATATAGTCTCTTATATATTTTAATGTTTATTTAATTAATTTAATATTTATTTTATAGCAAAATTAGGAAAAAAAAATGTTGAATTATGTGTATTAATCGATTGAGAAATATTTGAGTCGTCATATTATTATAGTAATGTTACAAAAATCATAAATTCAAAATTAAATTTAAACGCAGTGTTAAAATTTTATTTTAAAAACTTTTAGATTTTATACTTATATTAAATTATTAATGTTGAATTCGCATTAATGAAATTTGCCTTGTTATCATTATTGATGGTAGCAATACAAAAACAGTACAACAGTAAATACTAGTTTTTAATCGCAAGAGAACAAGACTGAATAAGAATGACATGTTAAAAATTATATATTAAATTAATGTAGATACGGCGTATTAAAAAGTTATCTTATATTATATACTTTTTTTAAACTAAAATTCGTCATTCATATTCATTAGAAAACCCAAATTTTAGTAATATTAAATTATTTATGAAAAATGTTTTATCATAACGAAATATGAAAGGAAGGGAAATTTACAATTATTATTATAATGATAACTCTTGAAAAAAGAAACTCACTAAAATGTAGTCCCTTACAGTCTTGTTATTTGTGTTAAGTTTCGAATGAATCGAGTAGCAAAATGATTAACGAATATAATTACGTTAGTATATTTTTTTAAAAATATAATACTGTTACAGTTTATATATTTATATATATATAAAACGTTAACTTTAAAATAAAAAAAAATAATGATCGGAGAAAAAAAGAGCTTTTTCAGTTTTTAATTTAAAACGTTTTGAACCAACTTTGGTTAGAAAGAACGTTTTTTTTTTTTTTTATCCCCTAGTTCATACAACAAGAATATGTGTACCGTGTGTACATACGGGTAATTTCTGCGTACTGTTAAATTAGTTGACATTGGATATTGTTTAAGCGTGATCATGACATAACAACCCGGAGTCCCGGCGTTTTAATACGACCTAGCGAACATTATTACGATAGTCGTACGCGGTATCGTAATAGCTGCGCGCCGTAGACGATGTGACTGATAATATAATTAAGTTGTAATTTCCGTTCACTCGGCCAATACAACGTTGTATGATGTTATATCATGACACTTGTACATCAACTCCGACCGCACAATAATTGCCATTCTCCTTTCGGTTGTATGTGCTTACGTGAACCGCCGAAGGATGTGTACGTTTTGCATGTTTAATAATAAAATACATAATCGGATATCGGTCGATAAACTAATACCTTGAAGACAGTGTGTTGCGCATTGTGAAGGTATGAGGGGGGGGGGTGGAAAACACAAAAAAACCTATATAAATAACAAGTGTTCACTTTCGAAAGGATCTATGTTACACGCGAACTGAGTACAATCGACCGACCTCGACCGACCGTCCCGTGCAACGCAGCAGGTATACAACTTCAGTTTCTAACTTTGTACCGATTTCGTTCAGTGTTCGCTAAACCAACATTTCGTTAAAGAATTGATGATAATAGTAAACATTAGCAGACAATGACGATGAACATATAGATAGAGAATTTTTCTTAAAATTTTGTTTTTATTTGATACAAATACAGTAATCGTTTTAAAACGTACGGTGCAAGTAGCTCATGACTGAGAAAAACTATACGTATGATAAATCGGGAAAAATTTAAAATCTTCAGTTGACAAATGAGTTACCCAAATATCAATCTCGGTAGAATAAATTAATGGTGTCAAAACATCGATCATTATTATTTAATAACTTGATAAAGATTTTAAACAAATGTATATATACTCGTATAATATACGATATTATATGATTATATTTTTTACGTACTTCGTTCTTGCACATATCTGTAAAATTTACAAAGTTGTTCAACACTGATGGTTTTTTTCTTTTTCTTCCAAATAAACTTATCACGTTTGCATTGTTTTCCTTTCTCAGGAGTTTTTAGGAAACCTAAATTAAAAAAAATTAAAATATATTAATCTTCACGTTTAATTGTTAAACACGATATATGTATTAATATTCTATTAATTGTGTTATTATTTAATGATGTATTATTTTACGTATTACAATTGTTAATAACACAAATAAAAATGATGATATTTATGACATTAAAACACTGCTTAAATTTCAAAACGAATTCGATTGGAATGAATCATGTATTTTAATTTCATTAATTCTAATATCATAATACCATTTTATTACTTTGTCCAGTTGTCCAAGCTATAATTTATTGTTCACGATTTCCTCCAAATGGTTCTTTTTATTTCTTTAGATGATCACATGATATAAAAACACCTGCAAAAGTAATACAATTTTTACCCAGGATTGGTAAATATTTAAAAGTGCATAATGTGAAACATGTCATGAATAATACTTAATAATTTTGCCATATTTCAATGGGTAATATTTGCCTCAATAAGAAAATAAATGTACTTTGATTAGATAAAAATCAACAAATTATAGTTGAAATACCTGTCAGTATTTATATTTAAAAAATTAATTTTTAGGATAAATTTTCAACTATTGATTTGAATAATATTATTTTTTAAATAAAATATTTAATGTCACAAACTATATTGGGAAAAATATTAATTAATTTATTAATATATTTATATTAACGTGTGCATTTTTTGAATTAAATTTAAAATTTTAAGTCAGAAAATATTGATTTAAATTATTGATTTGAAGTTTTATGGGCACGTCTAAAGGGTTATGTTTAGAAATAACTTTTTCATATTTATGTAATATTACACTTTTTTTAACAAAGTACGATTAGTATCGTTTAAACGCTTTTTGAAATATTGCTATTGTTTAACGTTAAATTGCATAAAATCCTATGTATATATGATATAATTAACTATGAGTATATGACTTCTACTCCATACCAGCTAGTACTCATTCGTCATATTACAACCGCGTACTCAAAAAAAAAAAAAAAAGCAACTACTTATTCCATCTATTTAGTCCACTGAAATTAGTTGAAAAAAAGACCAAACTGGGAAATAATTCATACAAAAGGTATTAGTGTGTTTTTAGGTATATTTAAATGTCCTGAATAACTCCTCAAAAGTATCCTACAAAAAAGTGTACGCATAATAGTTAGCAACATTGCAAAAATGCTCAAAAACGGTTTATCGAAATTTTCTCGATAACTATTGATTTTACGACAAAAATGGTTATAATCAAAATGAAAGAAAAAATAATTATTATATAAAAATAAGTCCGGTTTTCCTCCCTGACGCTATAACTCCAGAACGCACGAACCGATTTCCACGGTTTTGCATTCGTTGGAAAGGTCTTGGGCTCCGTGAGGTTTATAGCAAAGAAAATTCTGGAAAATTCAGGAAAAATTCAACAGAAAAGTGGGGAAATCGTTTTTCACATACAGCGCCATCTATTATACATAGCATGTACTTCAAACCAATAGCAACGGTGCGTGATAAAGTGTGTGATAGATAGTCATTATTCTCTGCTCAGTTAATTTCATTTAAGCTCAGTGTAAATTATGTGGATCGTGCATTTGAAGTTAAATTCAACACTCTGTCCATAGTCCAAAATGCCTAGAGAACGACGTGCGAACATCGGCCGCCGCACAAGACATGCAAGCCAGCAACAAGTCTATTCAAGGAACTTAAGAGAAGAAAGAAAAAATATAATAAGAGAAAATGACCGATTGAGACATCGCGTGAGCACACGAAGATCATTGGCATCATACAATCGCTTGGCATTCCAATATGATCCCACTGCGAACTACAGTGATGATGAAAATTTGGATATTGGACGAATGACGACTATATGCCGATATTGCAATGCGGTAAAGTTCAAAAGAGAAACGGTTGGATTGTGCTGCGCAAGTGGAAAAGTCAAACTGGATCCATTACTTACACCACCACAGCCACTGAAAACATTGTTTGATGGAAGTGATCCCGATTCCAGCCATTTTCTTCAACACATCCTTGAATACAATAACTGCTTTCGCATGACTTCCTTTGGAGCTAATATCATTCGAGAAGGCGGCTTCATGCCGACTTGCAAGGTAAAAGATACAACACACATAACCAACACATAATTGCAACACATAACAACTTCATATACACCACACACTACACCATCACACGAATTACAGATACAAGGTCAAATATATCATTTGCATGGTTCAATGGTGCCAACACCAGATGAACCGCATCAATTTCTGCAAATATATTTCATTTCGTCGATGGTGGATCAGCTGAACGTGCGGTGCAATATACAGGGAGCACAACAGTTAAAGAGACGAATTATTGAACAGTTGCAAGCATTTTTTCACGCTAATAATGCTGTGGTTAATATGTTCAAAACAGCATTGGAACGAATGCCATCGGATACGCACAAATTTGTCATAAGAGCGGATTGTACTCCAACAGGTGAACATGTGCGAAGATTCAATGCACCCACCGTTAATGATGTTGCTCCAATTATTGTTGGCGATCCAACTAAATCACGAGACATTGTCGTTCAGCGAAGAAGCAATATCATGCATCGTGTAAACGAGACACATCGTTTGTACGATGCGTTACAATATCCAATCATTTATTGGCAAGGGCAAGACGGATACGACATCACGCTGAAGATGGTCGATCCAATTACAGGTACAATATTCACACACTAATTATTTCCATTATTACTTTTATTGGTTTCCATTAACAATTCATTTAATTTTGCATTTTCAGGAGTATCAACGAATAATAAAAATCTAAGCGCAATGAATTACTATGCGTATCGTATGATGATTCGTACACATGAGGAGAATGTCATTCTGAAGTGCGGTCGGCTATTCCAGCAATTCGCTGTCGACATGTATGTCAAAGTCGAGACCGAACGTTTAGCGTTCATCAGATTCAATCAGCCAAAGCTACGATCTGAGGACTATATACACTTGCGTGATGCTATTCATTCAGATGGTGATGTTCAGAATATTGGACGACTGACGATTCTCCCATCAACTTATATCGGAAGCCCACGCCACATGCACGAATACGCTCAAGACGCTATGACGTACGTGCGAAATTATGGAACTCCGGATTTATTTATTACGGTCACATGCAATCCGAAGTGGACGGAAATTGAACGCGAGTTGGAACCGGGTCAAAAACCGCAAGATCGCCATGACATAATCGCCAGAGTATTTCAGCAAAAACTCAAGGTTATGATGGATGTGCTTACTAAGTATCGAGTTTTTGGTGACACACGTTGTTATATGTACTCGGTGGAATGGCAGAAGCGTGGACTACCGTATGCTCATATCCTAATTTGGTTGCTGAACAAATTACATTCAAATGAAGTGGATGACATCATATCAGCTGAAATTCCTGATCCAGTCACTGATCCCCGTCTACACGACATTGTGACGACACAGATGGTGCATGGACCGTGCGGTGCATTAAATCCATTATCGCCTTGCATGGCTGATGGAAAATGCACAAAACGATATCCGCGACCGTTAGTTGCTGAAACAGTCACAGGGAACGATGGATATCCAGTTTATCGTCGGCGTTCAAAAGAAGATAACGGTCGAACTATCAAAGTTAAAGTTCAAAATCAAGAGATTGAGATCGGAAATGAATTCATTGTACCATATTGCCCGCTGCTATCACGAATTTTCGAAACACATGCAAACGTTGAGAGTTGTCATTCGGCCAAATCAATCAAATATTTGTGCAAAAGGCAGCGACATGGCTGTGTTTGGTATTGCGTCGGAAAATGTGAATGACGAAATCAGCAACTTCCAAATGGGCAGATACGTCAGTACTAATGAAGCACTGTGGCGATTATTGTCATTTCAAATTCATGAAAGATATCCCACAGTTGTACATTTAGCAGTGCATTTGGAAAATGGCCAAAGAGTTTACTTCACTGAGGCTAATGCGGCACAACGAGCTGAGAGACCACCATCGACAACATTGACTAGCTTCTTTGCAATGTGTGAAGCAGATCCATTCGCAGCGACGCTGATGTACGTTGAAATGCCCAAGTATTACACTTGGAATCAATCAACAAAGAAATTCCAACGTCGCAAACAAGGAACCCCAGTTCCAGACTGGCCACAGGTGTTTTCAACTGATGCACTAGGTCGTATGTACACTGTTCATCCTAGAAACGATGAATGTTTTTATTTGCGACTGCTGTTAGTAAATGTACGTGGACCGAAATCATTTGCGCATTTGAAAACTGTGAATGGCCACCAATGCCAAACATATCGAGAAGCATGTCAACTATTGGGTTTGCTGGAGAACGATTCTCATTGGGATTTAACACTTGCAGATTCAGTTGTTTCATCAAATGCGTACCAAATACGAACGCTGTTCGCAATTATCATCACCACATGTTTTCCTTCACAACCAATTCAGTTATGGAACAAATACAAAGACGCCATATGTGAAGATATCTTGCATCGCTTGCGTATTCAAACGAATAATCCTGACATCCAAATAACCGATGAAATCTACAATGAAGGATTGATTCTGATTGAGGATCAATGCTTGACTATTGCAAACAAGCTACTGATTGAAGTAGGAATGATTGCGCCAAATCGATCGATGCACGATGCATTCAACCAAGAATTAAATCGAGAGCTGCAATACAATGTTGATACATTGCAGGAATTCGTTAGAAATAATGTTCCGTTGCTGAATGAACAGCAAAAACAAGTATACAAAACATTAATGCAAGCGGTGGACAATAATACTGGTGGTCTATTCTTCCTGGATGCACCTGGAGGAACAGGGAAAACATTTGTCATTTCATTGATTTTGGCCACTATTCGATCAAGATGTGACATAGCTTTGGCGTTAGCATCATCTGGAATTGCGGCGACTCTTCTAGATGGCGGTCGTACTGCACATTCTGCGCTTAAGTTGCCACTCAATTTAAACACAATTGATACTCCAACGTGCAATATTTCCCGATCCAGTGCAATGGGAAAATTGTTAATGCAATGCAAGCTCATTGTTTGGGATGAGTGCACAATGGCACATAAGAAATCACTTGAAGCACTTAACTTCACACTGAAGGATCTTCGGAGAAATAACAACATCTTTGGCGGCTTGATGATATTGTTGGCAGGCGATTTCAGGCAGACGTTGCCAGTAGTTCCCCGTGGAACGCCTGCAGATGAATTGAATGCTTGCCTAAAGGCATCACCTTTATGGAATAACGTAAAAACATTATCGCTAACCACTAATATGAGAGTTCAACTTCAAAATGATCAAAGTGCTGCACAATTTTCCAAACAATTGTTAGATCTTGGAAAT